CAGTGCCAACCCAGCCACAAGTTAGTGCTAGGGGCATACGCAATCCCCTTTTATGTGGCAGCTTCAAACAGTTTAATCTCAAAAATGGTGGGACCACTGTGGAATAATATACACTAGCTAGATGTATTCTAATTAGGACTCAGAAAAGCACTAACAGCAACCAATGAGCAATTCTGGGAGCTTATTTATTTTCAAAGATTAACAAAAGTGTTCTACTTTAAGTTGAGGTCAGCATTACTAACTGCCTCTTGGCCTCATCTCCTTATTTCCCTAGGGAGAAAAAGGCCTATAGTTTTATAAAGAAAATTTCTTAAAAATAACACTGAACAATTAAAAAAAATCTAAGTTCAATATATATACAACTTCATGCCTAATGCAAATACTTTACTCAACACTTGAAAAATCAATTTACCAGTTTTCAAAATATTTGTAAGAACATGAGAAAGGAGACAAAGAAAGGCATGTTTAAAGATGACGAAAATGCTATCCACAGAGCACAGAGCACAGTGGGAAAAGAAATGGGTTCAGTTTCCTTGCATGTCACTTTGTTCTATGGTCTGAATGTATCTCCCTCCAAATTCACATGATGAAAACTTAATACACAATATAATGGTATCAGGTGAGACCTTTGAGATGTGATTAGGTCATGATTAGCGCTCTTATAAAGGAGACCCAACATAGCTTCCTAGCCCCTTCTACCATATGAGGATACTGGGAGAAGTCAGCAGAACCCAACAAAGCTGGCATTCCGATCCTGGACTTTCAGCCTCCAGAACTGTGATAAAGAAATTACTATTGTTTATAATCCACCCAGTCTGTGGTATTTTGTTATAGTAGCCAGAACAGACTAAGATCTCTGAGGCTCAATTTAATTTTAAGATTCTATGATTACTCTGTGAAAGAATGATAGAAGACAGATCAGAGCTGAAAGTCCCTAAGCTGCCAGTCCATGGTTACTTGACAAATCACTACATAAATATGCTCAAGGCAAGGAAACTCAAAGACCAACCCTGTTATATTTCAATTAAAAAGTTTCCATGGGGGGATGAGGACTCATTTGTAATACCTTAACCAATAAAGAAATTTAAAAAAAAAAGAAAGTTTCCTTAACAACAAAAAAACAAACCACTTGATTTTAAAAATGGGCAAAGGACTTGAATAGACATTTAAAAAGAAATATATAATGGCCATTTACAAATGGCCAATAAGCACATGAAAAGATGCTCAACATCACCAATCATTAGGGAAATGCATATTAAAACCACAATGAGGTACCAACTCACACTCATTAGGATGACTACTATCAAAAACAAACAAAACAAAACAGTTCCTCAAATAATTAAAAAAAAAATTACCATCGATCCATTAATTTCACTTCTGGGTATATATCTGAAAGAATTGAATGAAGGATCTCTAAGAGATAGTTTTACACCTATGTTCATAGTAGCATTATGCACAATAGCCAAAAGATGGAAGCAACACAAGTGCCCACAGATGAATGGATAAACAAAATGTGGTCTATACATAAAATAGAATATTTTTCAGCCTTAAAAGGGAAGGAAATTCTGCCACATGCTACATGGATGAACCTTAAACATTATGCTAAGTGAAATAAAAGTCATAAAAAGACAAATACTCTATGAGTATTCCTAGAGTAGTCAGTCAAATTCATAGAGGCAGAAAGTAGAATGGTGGTTGCCAAGGGCTAGGGGTTGAGGGAGGGGAGTTGGTGTTTTTGAGTATAGAGTTTCAGTTTTGCAAGATGAAAAACATCTGGAGGTGGATGGTAGTGATTGTCATCCAACAATGTAAATGGACTTAATACTACAAAACTGAATACTTAAAAAAGATTTCCTCATTGCTCTGACTTCAGGGTCCATTCAGTAGCTCCCTGCAGTTTATGACACTATACTAGTTGAAGTTAGAAAGTTGGAATTCAGAAGCTCAAGGGCGTTCCTCTCATAGCAAAACCACCTATTAGTTGGGAGGAAAGATTCGTTCTAACTAACCAAGCACTTATATATCTTTGGTGCTTACAAAGATATAAAAGGTAATACCTGGGTTCCCAAGGAGCTTAATTTTCAAATAGAAAATTTACATGTAGTCACATAAGTACCATGTCATGAAGTAGAAATCACTAGAGAAAACATGTGCCTGGTGATTCACAAAAGAGGCAAGGCAAGATAGTTGAGCACTGAGCCAGTTCAGGTAAAGATGTGGGTAAAAGAGGGAACAGAAGAAACAAAGATAAAGGAATGGTGCCCAGGTAGATTACTGTTTTAACAGGAACAGAAAGTATGGCATAGGTCACTCCTTGATGCTTATCTCTCTCAGGCCTCACTGCTCTGTATACTCCACTGGATCTCCAGCTGGCAGTATCCACATCCCTTTACCAAGTTTTCTCCAAAGCCTAGGAGGCTGCAGCCAGGCTGCTCTAGGGAATGAACATTCCTTGGGAGCAGGTTCAACCAATGACTAAATATCCAACTAATAGCCCAACTGCCTTATCCTCAGGTGGAATAACTCTGAAGTGCATTTTCTATACCCTTCCCCCTCAAGATCAACTCCAATTGCCCACAGTTG